GTGGCACAGTGGGTGCTGGGCCTGGAATCAGAAGACCTGAGTTCAAATCTAGCCTTGGACACTTACTAGCTGTGTGATCCTGGGCAAGTCACTTCATCCTGTTTGCCTCAGTTTCCTCATCTGTAAAACAAGCTGGAGAAGGAAAGGACAAACCACTCCAGCATCTTTGCCAAGAAAACCCCAGATAGGTGCACGGAGTCAGATGTGACTGAAACAATTCAGCATAACAACAACCTCTGACTCCAAAATAAGGGCTCTTTCTTCAGCTGTAAAATGAGTCGAATGGGCTAGATGGCTTTCGAGGTGCAGCCTTCCAGCACCACATCTCTGATCCTGTGACCTAGGTTCAAATCCTCCCTTTGCCACATGCCACCTGTGTGTCCTTGGGTTAGTCACTATAACTCTCTAGGGCCTAATTCTTCAGCTTTAAAATGAGGGGTTAAAGTGGGTTAGACTGGATGACCTCTGGCCCTAAATCTACGATCCCTCCCAAGAATGGTGATAATCTCTTACTGCTCTAAATACATGGTCAGGAATCCAGAGGCTTCAAGCAAATAACCTAACTTGGAAAGCAGGCACCTTCCTACGTCTGTTTCCAACCCAACCCACTGCAGCTAAAGGCTGGCAATACCTTTCAAAATATCATTTATCGTTTCGGATTGTAGTACAGAGATGTCAAAATGGAAGAGTCTTAGGGGATATTTAGTCTGTTTCCCATTTTACAGATGGAGAAACTGAAGCCTGCAGGTACAAAGCGACTTGTCTAAGGACACAGAGGCAATAAGGCATAGAGGCAGGATTGGAAAGCAGGCCTGATTGGTAATCTAGCACTGATGTCTCAGCAGGGGTATATTAGTAACATGAAAACAGCAGACATCTAGGTCTGTGATGAGGGCATCCAAGGTCTCCTGATGAGGTCCAGTGCTCTCTCTACAACACCACGTGGCTCCTCTGGAGCCCACTACTCAATAGCCATGTGACCCCGGGCATCATTTTCCTAATCTATAAAGTGAGATGGGAATATTTTACTCCCGACCCCACAGGGTCATTGTGCTTATTAACCCGTAAAATACCACATGAATGGGAATTATTATTCATAATTATTGTTTTCATAGATTCCCTGACTTAGAGCTACAAATCATCTTTCAGATTATCTAGCCCAACCCCTTCACTTTACAGATGAGGAAACTGAGGCTCAGAGAGGCTAAGGGATTTGTCCAGTGTTACATAATTAGTCAGTAGTTGAATTAGGATTAACACTCGGGTCCTCTGACTCCCAAGGGAAGTGGGAAAATGGGTCTACTTTTTTTTTCTCCTTAATTACATTAAAAAAAAATCCATCTCATTGTACTCACATACACTCCTTCTCCTCTACCTCTTAAAATCCCTCCCTTCCTTCCAAGCTCAGCTCATGCTCCAGCTCCCCCATGAGGCCTTTCATGATCCTCTCCCACCACGCATCACCACATCTCATGCCCTTCAATTAGGCAGCAAGTTTTGCACAGTGGTTAGAGCCCAAGAGTTGGAGTCAGGAAGACCCAAATTTAAAATTGGCCTTTGATACCTACTAGCTGTGTGACCCTGGGCAATTCACCTCTCTGTGCCTCAGTTTCCTTGTCTGTAAGATGGGTCTAATAATAGCACCTACCTCATAGGGTTACTGTGAGGATCAAGTGAAATAATATGTAAAACATTTTGCTAACCTTAGGGTGTTATACAAATGATAGCTGTTGTTATTTTATTGTTATTATTTACGTAGCATATATATTTATTTATTTATTTGTGCATGTAAAATGTAAAATGTAAGCTTCTTGAAGGGAAGGACTTTTTTTTGGCTTTTTTTTTTTTTTGGCTTTGTGTGCCCAGCACCTAGCATTGTTACTGGCACATAGTAGGTGCTTAATAAATGTTTGTTGATTGGTTGACTAAAGGAGACTTCCAATTTTGACATGGATACATATATCCAATTTGTTTTTCTCTAAAGATCACTATTTCTTGTCAACGTTTGTTTGGTCAGGCTTCATTTGTTGGTACATTGTTTTCCAAACTTCTTTGTAACAATGTCACCTTTGTTAGATAGTTTAGACAGTAACTTCCTACAAGACAGTAACTGTTTCATGTAACTGACTTGGTGGGTTAGAACCCCCAACCTAGGAGAGACCTTGGAGGCTCTGCTATGTTGGTTCTTGATCTGTGGGCCTCCTGAGTTCCAGGGGTGGAGGATGGCCCAGAGACGATGCCTGGACAGACACTTGTGATTTCCGACAACCATGCAGCTTCATCTGCTTTCCTTCTGCCAAGAGCCCCTTTTCACAAACACTCAGGCCTCAGCTGGGAGACCCCACACTTATGTTATGGCACCCTTTTCTTATTTAAAAATTTTGTTTTTATTTTATTATGAATAAATTTAGGCAGCCAGATCTTTAGGGCTTCTGGGATGCTTTTCTTATACTTCACTGCCTTCTTCCTCAGTGTTAACAGAGATAAGCAGACCAAACATGCCTGGTGAAATCAGCCCGGTTTGGGTGGGGCCGGGTAACAGCAAAAGCTGAGGTCAGCTCCGTTATTTCAGGCCCCTCACCTGGGATCCTGCGTGCGGGCTGGCCTCATCTCCTTGGAGCTGGCCTTGGTCAGAATGAAACGCGTCCAGATTCAACGCAGATGAATGAAAGAAAGGAAAAGAGCGGGTGCTTTTCTTTAGCCTTGGAAGGGCTGTGAGCAGAGATCATAGGCTCTTAGCTGGAAGGGATCTCTGGAACCATCTTATCCAACCCTTTCCTTTTACAGATGAGGAAACTGAGGCCCAGAAATGATAAGTGATTTAGAATCAAAGCTCCAGAGCTGGGAGCGACCCTCGGGACTACCTAATCCAATTCTTCCATTTCATAAATCAGGAAACTTGAGTCCCAGAGAAGGGAAATGACTCACCCAGAGTCATTACAGGCAAGTGTCACAGGCAGGATTTAAACCCAGGTCCTCTGACTCCAGAACCTAACCTTCCCGCTATATCACGCCTCCACGTACAAATACATAAACAGTCAAACCAATCCGCCATAAGCTGAAGAGATGACTTCTCAACTTCAGTAAGCATGTTTTAAATACCTACTATCCTGTACATATATGTGCTTTTTGGGGGTTAAGAGCCATGATTCTGTCATTATGGAGGGATTCCTGGTATGGAAAGTCCATCTGCCGATATCGAGCAGCAGTTCCCATGAAACTTAGTGTTAAGGCGTTGGAAGGATGGATCAGAAGAAGACACTTGACCCCAAGGCCAGCCCTGATATTACAATTCATGATATCACATGGCCTCTCCGGATCTATAAGGACCAGGTTTGTCATTTCACTGGGATAGGGAACTCCCAGGTCAGGAAATTCCCTCCACCAATGCAGGCCAGTACCTCCTCTGCAGTGAACTGTCTGCCAGAGCAGCCTCAAGCAGCTCAGATGCACTTATGACTACTTAAAAATATATGTAGCTCTTTTTGTAATGAATAAAATACAAATTCATTTAAAAGCGTTCTGCAGAATCACAGAGGCTCTTTGTCATAGTATATGTTCTCAATCTACAGATACTCATTTCCAATGACTCTCGCTGTCATGTTACTCAATCAATCCACGAGTATTTATTAAATGCCTACTATGTGCCAGGTACTGTACAGACACTGTACTGTGTGCTGGGGACACTGAAAAGAGCTGAGAACCCCTCATGAGGCTCAGTCCCCACTTGAAGCATCAATCCTGCTACGATATCTTTGACAAGTGAACAAGTTAAAAGACAGAAGCCACACTTTGACCGGACAACTGTGAAAATGTTCCCTACAATAGTGGATTCCACCATTTTCCTGGAAATTACCCATAGCCATGCCCTCAAAGAAGGATATTTTCCCCATTTCCCCCAATCCATCTCTAAAGTGAAACAGACAGTCCTGGCCCTCTTAAATGGATATCCATTTAATCCTTTTAAATTTTATCCATTTAAATCCTGCTGAGCAGGATTTAACCTTTTCCTGATAACTCGATGTCCAAAGGTAAGGCAGTGGGGCACTTACTCTGTGTGGACAAAGAGCTAGCCTTGAAGTCAGGAAGTCAGGAAGACCTTCCTAGCTGGGTGTTCCTGGGCAGGTCACTCAACCTCCCTGAGTCTCAGTTTCCTCATCTGTAAAATGGGGGTAATAACCCTTTCATGCCCTATAGTTCATGCACATCTGATTAGATCTAGCATGTTAAGCGTTTCACAAGCTGGAAAGTGCTAGATGAATGGAAGCTGCTTTTGTGATCATTAATACTTGCATATTTCAGTCACAGTGACTCTTAAAGACCACCCAACAAGCCATACAGGGGTTGCTCTCTGTTTTAATGGCATGAGTGCCCATCCCAGTGAAACAACATGTTTCTTTTCTTTTCTGTGCCAGATCTGAAATTTTATCCAGTTGTAGAAAGTGAAAATTCCCTCCACGGATGCAACTGTAGTTGCACCAAGCAACTCTTTAAGGTTATAGAAATCGTAGATAGCTCACAACCTGTATTAGGGTAAAGAGTTCCCACACCAAAGAAATCACGGACCCGTATTGTACTGAAATAAATATTCCATCTACAGATCAGTACATGATAACAGCTAGCATTTACGTAGCACTTTAAGGTTTGCAAGGTTCTTTATAAATATGATCTCATTTGCTCATCACAACAACCCTGGAAAGTGGGCACTATTATTATTTTCATTTTACAGATCAGAAAACTGAGGCAAGGGTTCAGTGACTGAGCTAGAGTCACGCAGCTAATAAGTGTCCAAGGAATGATTTGAATTTAAGTCTTCTGGATTTCGGGTCCAGTGTTCTATAAACTAGGTCACCTAGTTCTCCTGAGAATGTTTTAATATCTAAATTTTTAAGTAAATATCTAAAATGTTTATTTATTAAAGATCTAAAATTTTAAAATATCTAAAATACAGAAGAAAGCCCAAGAAAAAGAATCATATAACCATTTCCCAAGAACCTTACCTCATCCACCACCTTGGAAAAATAGTGGAGGGTAGTTATGACTTCTTCATCTCCTTTACCAAGAGCAAAATTCTAAGATAAAAAATAAAAATAAAAAAGAACCAGGTGTTATCAGAGTGCCACAGGGGTCAGCAATAGAGTAAACACAGTGATTCCACGAGGCTGCCTTCTGCCTTTGTAACTAGCTCCTTCTTTCTCAAAGAAAATCACAATGAACAAGATCGGGGGAAGGGTTCCTTCAAAGATAACTGTATTTTAGAACAGGGGAAGCCTTCCTTGGCTAACGAGAAGAGATGGTGTGAGTTCTTCTCATCCTACCCCATCAATACATGCATTTTTCCTGACACTGGCTGCCCCATTATTGGCCCTCATCCTTCTTCTTGTAAATGAACCCCAATGGAATTCATTTACTCACTTATTTTATCAACTCCTCCAATATTGGTCCAGTTCTCCATAACCTTTTTCTTTGGATTGAACCTGTAATTTCACTGGTATAAGGAACTTCCAGTGAGGAAGAAAATCTTTCTACCAATTTGGTCAGCACCTTCTCTGTAACTTTACTTTTGAAGAATTGCCTGGGAGTAAAATGACCTGCCCAGGGTCACATAGCCAGTATGTCAGAAGTGGGAGTTGAACCCAGGTCTTCCTGACTCTGAGGCCAGTTTTACCCACTATGACATATTGTCCCTCGTCCACAATGCTTTTAATCTATTCTAGTCAGGGCTATCTCTCTGAAACAGTAAATTATTAAAAGGTAGGATGGTGTCTCTTAAATTGCTTGGTATGCCTTTCAACCTGGGCCCTTCTCAAACTTTTTGCTGCCATTTGCAGGAATCATTCATAGAACACATAATGTGGGTTTAACAAATACAATAAAAAAATTTCGATCTCCTAATAATTATTACAGAGAACATTGGTTTGGAGAATTACACCATGAAATTCCCCTTAACGATGCCCTTATCAAGTCAACTAGAATGGAAACATCTGGAGAGCAGGAACAGTTTCATTTTTTCCCTTCGTATCTCCAGTGCCTAGGACAACACCTCGAATACAGCAGGGGATTAATAAATGCTTATAGGATTGAATTGAATTGAATAAAATTACCTGTTTCTCATAGGCCAGTAGCTGCTTGGAAAGTTGCTGGGTGGCTAAGCACATTTCATTCTGTAGGGAAAAAAGAGATACTGATGTGAGTTCAAAGTGTATAAGGGGACTTCCAAGAGCCAGCTCAGATCTTTCCTTATTGTGAGTGTCAGATTCAAGGTACATTTACAGCTCCTCCATTTTATTCTTTGCTTGATTATGGTCAGTTACAAGAACCATTGTGGTGTAGTGGGCTAAGGGATTGCCCTGGAGTCAGAAAGTTCTGGGTGTAAACCCAATTATTAATTCCCTTTGTTCCCCCCACTACCACAAGCTGTCAACCACAGCGGTCTCACTGCCCTCCTTGGCAACAATCAAGCAACAAGCCGAATTTGATTCTTCCTTGCCTTTGGAACTGGGCTGGCAAGAGCTCCAAAAAGCAATGGAAAAACCTGTCACAGATCTCCTGGCATCAAATTGCACCACTGGGCAAAAGGAGAAAACAATAATTTGCCACTCAACTCCACCTCCCTTGGACAAAAGTAAAGAAGGGGTCAGGACAGAACATGTGAGCTTCTCGGGAAAGCTTAACAAAGCATCCATCCCTTTGCCAAACGTCACTGCCAAATGCCCCACGCCATGTTTCTGTTGGTTAATAACAATGATCACAACAACACCTTGCATTTATACAGCACTTTTAGATTTGCAAAGAGCTTTTACAAATATCATCTCCTTTTCATCTCATAACAACCCTGAAGGTGAGGTGCTATTATTATCCCCATCTGACTGATGAGGAAACTGAGGCTCAGAGAAGACTTGCCCAGATCGCACAGGGTGGTAAGATCATAGGCCCATAGACTTAGGTTATCTTCAAGGTTATCTTGAGAAGGAGAATGGTAGAGTGGATAGAGAGGCCTGCATATGGAATCAGATAAGTTTTAAAAATGGAGTTCAATTCCCACCTTAGACCCTTCCTATCCATATGACTCTGGTTGATTCACTTAAAGTGGTCAAATAAGGGAGTCAGACTCAACGATCTCCAAGGTCCCTGCCAGTTCCAGATCTCCGATCCTTTGATACCAACCCTAATTTTACAGATGAGGAAACTGAGGTCCAGAGAGTTGAAGCAATGTTCAGGGTTACACAGCTAATAAATACATAGGTTCATGGGTTCACAGACTCAGAGCTGGAAGGAAATTTAGACTGATTTTACAAATGAGGAAACTGAGGCATAGAGAGAGAGGACAAATTCCATGTCCAGGGTTATACAACTAATAAATTCATAGGTCAGGAGGTTCATAGACTTAGAACTGAAAGAGATCTTAGAAGTCATCTAAACTAATTCCCTCGTTGTAGGGGTGAGGAAATTGAGGCCGAGAAAGGTCATTTGCCCAAGATAAAGAGCTAGGCAGTAACTAAGTAAGATTTGAACCCAAGGCTTCCTGACTCCAAAGTCAGTCCTCTTTCCACTGTACCATGCTGCTATCCACATCCGAGCCTGTATTGCAACTGAGGTTCTCCTGGTTTTGAGGCCAGTGTGAATGTGATCTTTCCCCCAAAACACTTCAGGATGTAAGACAAATGAGCACCCTACCCCATCAGTGTTCTTTTATTGGCAATAAAGAAAAAGATCAGAATATGTATTGTCATTTATCCACCAAGCAAAAGCATCTTTTCTGATCAAGGAGCATAGCAGGATGTCTTTGGACATAGCTTGTTGCTTTAGGCCAATCTGAAATTTGTTCATGCCAGATCTACTGTGTCTGCAGGTTTTACAGAGCTCTCACCTCCTGCAGCCAGTGAATCCACAGCCTGTGAGATGCCAGCAGCGTTATTCCTTTCTCCTCCCCTCCCTACCTCCCTCCCTTCTTCCCTCCCTCCTTCCCTTCTTCCTTCCTTCCTCCCTCCTTCCTACTCTAGGACTCCATATTACCCAATATTCTGTGTGATAACCTGACTTGATTGATTTTCATCTCATGTTCAGCATTTTCATCTCATGTTCAGCAATATTCATTCTGAAATTTGAAAATCTTTTAGTGACTAGAGGATGTCATTCATTCTGACACATACTGGTTGTGTAACTATGAGCAAGTCCCTTAAGCTCTTAGTGCCCCAGAAAACTCTCTAATACTGTCTGGTGCTTAGCTTAGTGCCTGGTACATAGTAGGAGCCTAATAAATGTTTACTGATTAATTACAGATTGCTCACCTGCATTAAGAAATGAAGCTCATACAGGCCAATGAAATCACAGACCTGGGCTCTTCTTTCCCCCTTCCTCCACACAGTGATTCAATGACTGGGTAACCCTTAAGGTTCCTCTTAGGATTTCCTTTCATTCAATTTACCTCTATTTAAGAAGTGTCAATTTTGGGTGATGGGAGAGAGGGAGGGGGGAGGAAGGGGGGAGGGAGAGGGAGAGGGGGAGAGGGGGAGGGGGGGAGAGAGAGAGAGAAAGAGAGAGGAAGGAAGGAAGAAATCGTCTCTGCCATAAGAAACTTCTGTTTAGCACCAGTGCCACCTTCTTTATGAGGCCCCTCTGATTTCTCAACTGCTGGTGCCTCTCCAACTCCCAAGATATTTTGCATTTATTTACATTACAACAATAATTGTTAGCATTTATACAGAGCTTTAAGACTTGCACAAAAAGACTTTGCATATTTTATGAAGCACCTACTATGTGCCAGGCACTGTGCTAAGTGCTAGGGCTACACCAAAAGGCAAAAGAAAGTCCCTACCCTCAAGGAGCTCATGGTCTAATGTAACATGTCCTTTGATTCTCCCAACAATGTGAGATAGGTGTTACTGTTACCTCCATTTTCTTGGTGAAAAGACCAGGGCCCAGAGAGGCTACCTGAGGTACCCAGGGTCACAGAGCCAGTATCTAAGGCAGAATTCCTACTCTTTAACTTCTTCTTAATTCTAAGTCCAGTATTCCAGCTACCTACTTATCATACTTGTGGTTATCCCTTGCTCCCATATCTCTCTCTCATCTGATAAGATCCTTCAGGGCATGGACTGTTCTGGTTCTATATTTGTAGCCCAGTGCTTACTATGATTGATTGACTGATTGGTTGACTAGCTGTGTGTCTGGAACTCAGGAACAGCCACTCAGATGCTCTGTTAGTCCATCTAGCAAGAACACCAATAATTCTTTTATAGACTTATACTATGGAAGATAATAGGACAAAAGGCGCAGACATGGGTTAATAGCCCATGTCAAACACCAGCCTCCCTGACTGGTGGCTGGCAGAAGAGGAAAGATAAGCTGTTAGCAAACCTGAAAGAAAAACAGAGCTGCTGGCAAAGGGCTTATTGATCTTGCTGCATCCTGGAGGGCCGACCGTGGCTGTGATCCAGAGCCACCCAAACACTGCTGAGTTGAGCTGATCCCAGATTGTTTCTGTGCTTCTAGGATATGTGATTTCAGTCACATGGGCCCTTTTAATGGTGCAGATCACCATCCTTAGGACAGTTTTGGGAAGTTGCTGTGGCCAAATGCTCCATCCCCTGGTTGTTGACCTTTCCTTAGTAAGCCTCTTGGATCTTAGCTAGGCAGTATGATGATTAAAAAGGTTTGAGAGACATGGTTTCTGGATAATTAATCATTTTATTAATAAATCCAGAAGGTTATTAATAAAAGGATGGTCATTTGGCTTTCTTTCTTAGACCAAAGACCCCTCATGGTGGTGCCCTTTGAGTTTATACGCCCTTTGAAGTTTATATGCCCTTTGAAGAGTATATGTGGCTATATTACAAGGGTCTTGGGATACGTGCCCTGTGTCACCCAAATCTTGGTCAAAGAGACATCGATTTCCATACCAGTTGTCTGACAAAAGAGGATCCACATTTCCCCAGACCTGTCTAAGCAAACACAACGAGCAGGAATACACCCACTAACCCAAATTTCGAATTTCTTTTACTGTCTGTTAAGATCCTGGCCTGAGTAAATCTTTGAGATTTCCTACACTTGTTGATTTCTGGGTGAGGAAGTAGAAAGGGGGAAAAACCCTGGTCCTGATACAATAATCAGTTATTGGATATAAGAGAGAAATATTCATTTCTCCCTGCAGGATCTTGGCTTGTACATCAAGACTTTCCTGCTTGGTAGAATGTAAGCTCCTTGAGGGTAGGGAACTGTTTCATGCTTTGTATCCCCAGCACCTAGCACAGTACCTAGTACGTAGTAGGTGCTTGACAAAAACAGACTGACCTAGGATCCACAAGAGTTTAGACTCCACTGGCACAGCCTCCTTGATCCCATGTTACCTGCAGGCCATGATGAGGCCTCTGGGCAGAGATTTACTGGAGGATTGTAGCTTTAGTTCTGGAAGGGATCTGAGAGGCTCCTGAGTCCACCCCTTGTTTTACAGATGAGAAACTGAGACTCATGGAGGTACAATGACTTACCCAAGGTTATACTGCTACTCTGAGCAGGCAGGACTTCAGTGCAGGGCTTCCTGACTCAAGGCCAAGACTCTACCCACCTGTGATCCCCAGCTTATGAGCACTTAGGCCAGTGTCTGACACATAGTAGGTGCTTAATAAATGCTTATTGACAGGCTAGTTGACCTAGTTGCACTCCCCAGCTCTCTCCTGAAAGTGCTTTTCGAGCCATAGATCACAGAATCATAGCTGGAGAGCTGGAAAGCATTGCAGGGATGTACTGGTAAATGTTTAACAAAAAGTACTTCGGGGAATGCCTGCAAAATACACTTGGAAGTTTAACCTGCATTACTAACACTCTCCACCACTTTCTTACATCTAGCTAAGCAACAAATTAATCAATCAACCAAGCTCTGATCAGTAGCCCTGGCTGATTTCTGAGGTGTAAACGCTCACAACGAAAATGTAACAATGGTTTCTTCTGCATCAGCCAGTCTGAGCTGGCTCCAGCGCCTTTGGCCATTCTATAGATGAAGAAATGAAACCCCGCAGAGAGGGTAAGCATTATGGTCCAGATCACATAGGTAATGAGCAGCAGAGCTGAGATTCAGATCCAGGGATTCGAACTCCCAACTCTAATGCAGGCTTTTCACTTCCTTTGCTGCCTCTTCATTGAAGTGAGGATGTCCGTGGTCTCC